TTTGAAGAACGCCGATTCACTTATAAGTAGTATGGTCATGATGATATCCCAGGCTAACATTTCGACTCCTCTGGTGTTGATGGTATGGAACATCTCCTCCTTGGCGTATTTAACCATTGCAAAACGATCATTTAATCTTGTTGCCTTCAGTGTACAGTTATGAAATTAATCATCATCAGTAGCGATGAGCTGTATGTTTTTAAACGTTTATGAATGATATGATTATGAGTGTGATTATAAATCTTACCGGTTTTTTTGAAGTCGAGAACCTTATCTAATAGAGTCGGATTATCGAAGAACACAACGAAACTGTGAAAGCCGTCTGAGAAAATATTTAACGGTGAATCAGGGAACACGACGGATCACTTACACCTCAATGTTAGATAAAAAGTCGAAGATGCACGGCGTGTAACAAAATATTGAATATTTAATCACGTGTGACGTCTGGTTATGAAAGTTATCATAACCAATTCACCTGCGTCGCCTGCGATGCAAATGTGGTTCTTCATGTAATACCTTTAGGGAATAAATCATTATTTTTGTCTGCTGTTCCGAAATTAAATGTTGCTTCGGTACATCTTGATTATCGTCTTTAGTTGCTCATTTGCATAAATCATAATGAGTGTAACGTCGTTTAATCGAACTGCGCTAAACCAAGGGGTCATTTGACTAAATTAGTACTTTCATGAGTACAACCACCGTTGCAGGTAGTGACAGGCAAAATTGAAAGCATGTTCTTGTGCTCACTGAGCTGTTGACATTGACTTCGTAATTAAACGAAACTCATGAATGATGGCTTCGTGACAAAACCCAGGTTCACGCCATAAGCTGCATGACACAAAAATGTGCAACAAATAATGTGAATGCTATTCGGATCAATGTTTGGTGACAATGACTAAAAAATTTCTTTCCATTTTATTATAATAGTTTATTAGCTGCGTGCAGCATCCCAAAGCTAAAGCAATATTGACTGACGGCCTCGAAACAAAGTCTGGTACCACACCATAAACCACATCGAGAAGACGGGGGTTGGTGAATTATAGACCCAGAGCCAGGGTCCCTTTCAGGGAAATTCCATCATAGAATATTTTCAACAAGGAGTAATCGACATCTAAACAGCTATAAAATCCCTGTTTCCTTTTCTGGTAATAGTTCAGAATGAGAGCGAAGAGTGAGGCAGCAGGCAGCACTCTCAATGAGATGATTTCATGGTGTGCTGCGCAAAAGGGCAAGTTGGCGGAAGTAGACTTCAGTGAGTTCTGCCGCCTCGTAAAACCCACACGTTAGGCGATAGAAAGAATCTTATTCTCGATATAAGCTAAATTGTGGTTCCTACGACGCATAGGCTAGCCAAGATAAGAGTTCACAACCCATTGCAAAGCCCTCTTGTTCAGGTTTTCTAAGTAGATCATTAATGCAGGCTAATCCTCGACTATCCTCCAGTATTTAAGCAGCTCCAACGCCAGAGGCATCTCGCACTCTTTCGTTCGTTAGAGTCCCGTCGCACTCGTTACGAACGATTAGGAGCTGCTGAGTCTTTCATGGTACCTCATAACTCTTCCAAAATCAGATTTCTTTGCGCATTGCATCGCCCATTGCTCATAATTGCCTAGAAGAGCCATCATGGTCCAAAAATGGCGAAAGAAATTTTAAGGATATTTAAAAGCAGCAATTCACAGAACCTATGATTCCCGTTGCTTATACGAATTAAATACTACCAGCTACAAATAATGTGCTGTGGTATAGTCAAGAGTATGGTGAGCAAAAAAACGCTGCAGTTAAAAATCACCATTTAGAAAAGGAAACCGGAAAAGTCCATGAATCATTATGAGCGATGACTGCATGAAATGACTTTGTCACGCTCGGTTAACTGAAGTACAGTGAGATAACATTAGAGTTACTTTTCCTTTGAGTTTTAATTCAGCTCAATGTAGCTTACTTCATGAATTCAGAAAAATCATAACAATTTAACTTCGACTGAACGCATAAAGAAGCCATTTAGGCATATTACGGCTGCATGTCACTTAAAGGACTGCAGTTCTCCAAATGGCTAAATATTCTTCTAGGCGTCTGCAAGCCAAAGGTCCTTATGTTCACGACGAGGAAATCCGGAATTATGAGGATGAAATTACGTGATTATTAGCGGATTTGAAAACTTACCATTTGTGGTAGTTATATCTGAAAATAGGGATCATATTTTGCGTATGTATATGCTTATAAGTTACGGAAAGTTTAATTGATGATCGCACTCGTTATAGCTTAATTATGCTCTAAGTTAAGGTCCACCAATCCATCCACTACAAATTATCAAATAAGGTTACGCAGCGACCTTCTAAATGGGCCTGGTTGGTGCCTAAATGAGAGTGGATGTCCTAACGCTAAAGAAATCTGAAATAAAAATTGATCCGACTCAGGTTCCGCCATAATACGTGCTTTTCTGAAGTCATTGAATTTCATTTCATACGCAGAGAGTACTGTATCTTCAGCAAAAAATTAGTGGATAACGTTTGGAGTTTTACACCTGCGTAATTCAACTAAGATATTAGTATTCATTCAAATTACGTCAC